GTTTGTATATTTAATTTATAAAATTAAAAATACAAACAAAGCACAAATTTAACAAGTTTTCAAATAGGTAGCACAATGTATGTTGTTCTATTTCAAATTTTGCCCCCCCCCCCCAACCCTTTAAAATTGTACCCTTTAAATTTGTACCCTTTGAGTTTTCATAAAATTAAAATTTCTTTCACATGATGTTTACTGAATTTCTGGTGAACAATTTATTGTTTGACAATTCAATTGCAAATAAAATTTTCAAAAACCTCCAAACTCAGATTTAGATTGAATGACCAATTTTGGGACAGACAAAAAAGTCTTAGGGAACCTTTCAGAATGGCAATGGATAGCAATATGTCATGCGAAAATGTACACGCAGATGTAGAAATTTCGCTGCAAATAAAGTGATCGATAGCAATTATTAATTGTAATACATCTGAATCCTTATTCAGTTACTTCCTTATTATTTGACTGAACTTCTGGTCTGTATAGTTTAAAAAAAATCTTCCTATCTATTCATATTTGATTTAACATGATTTTCTTTAACAACTTGTAACTTTTTTAATAAAATTGTTCTTGTAAATGTTATATAATGAAGCTAAATCTTAGTATGCCAACTTAATTTAAATCACCTTAAGCCATTTATGATCATTTCATCCAGAACAAAGTATAAGATTTTATTAATTATTGTTCTTTAATTCAAGTTTTTTTTTTTGTCATAAATAATTAGGCTTTTTATAGACCACTATAAAATTTTTTTTTATACAAAATTTAATTCAATCATTTCAAACATAATTAAAAATATACTCAAGGTAATATCAAGTATAATTAAATCAACTTGTAAAAAAAAATAATTACATAAGATGAAAAAAAAAGAATACGATATAATTGTCGGCAATTTCATTCACAAAGAACTTGTAAAATCAAAGAATAAGATTCTAAACACTTCCGAATTGAATATTTTCCGACAATATCCATCAATATTTTGTACCGCTCTATAATTATCAGTTCTTTATATCGAATTAGTAGATTTTAGGTAAAAATAAATTTATAAAAAAATTCACTTATTAATTCCATTTTGATTTGTCTGTTGATTTGTCTACTTTTTTAATTGAAGGCGTTGTATACAGTCTACTTTTTTCAATTTTTTTTGTTTTTATTAGTTGATCTAATCCGATCCGTAGAATACACAAATTCTTTCATCTCAACATTAGATTATATTCGAATTAAATATGTGAAATGAAGATTTCCAGAAGCGAAAGTCTTCGAAATTACAAAAATTTTCAATGTTCTTTAAAGTTTCCTGAAAAAAAGCTTCCTATTAAAAAAACTATTACCAACTAGTTATTTACTGTTTAATAGGCAATTTGTTAAGTAGCAGTTAATTTGACTTAAAGTTACTTTGTTAAGGCAAAGAACAACTTAACATTTATTTTGAGTGTAAAAAATAAATTTTCATCTTTATTCAGGAAGTTAAGAGGAAAAATATTGAAATTACTTAAAAAATTCTTTCAAAAATATGAAAAAAAGTTAAAAGTTGGACATATTTTCGAAACATGAAATTGTTATTGTTTCCTTCAATTTTCATCTATTTATAGGCAACAGCATTTCCGAACTTCTATTTCCGAACAAGTACAGAGTTCGAGATATAGAAGTTCCACTGTATTTAAGTTTATATTTGTTCCAATGTAACATGATTTTCTTATACACATACGCAAGGTTTCATTCTTGCTTCTTAAATGCTTCTTAAATGGAACGTTAATTAACACCTTTAGAGTGGAACACTATTGAAAATTACCTTATTAAATATGAATGTTTTAGTAAAATCTTACTGCTCAATCTTATTAAAAGAAATATATCCTCATTCGGTAAAGCTAAATATGTTCTTTAATATTACATTGTTGTTCTTTTCCTCAAAGCATTTGCAGCACTTATTAAGAACAATAAATTCTCTATTTTTACTTAAATAAATTCTAGCAAACATAACCTCGCGAAAATCGCAAACAAACAATTTTTTAATGAATAAACAATTAAAAACAAAGAACAATAATTTTTTTCACCTATATTCTTGAGCACACTTAAACTATAAGTTCTTCATTAAAATATTCTAGTTTCGCCACTCTTTCATTTCTTCTTTCTCCACTAATTCATCCGACATTTTGTGATAGAACCAAGATAGAAACTCTTGAAGTCGTAATTTAAATTTAGGTACATAAATTAACGTAAATTATGTGAATTTTTTTTCCTTCAAAGTCCAGAATAGAGCAAAAAAAACGTAAATATAAAATTTAAATTAAAGTTTATTGACCATTATAATTATTAACTTATTCACATTCTGAACAGTAAGGTTAATTAGTAACGAGGAGAAGCAAAAAAAAAAAAATGGTTTGTAAACGGTTCAGTTCTTTTAACACATGCGCAAATCATATAGTTTTTTTGTATATGATTTTTTCTTCATATTTTTTTTTAAATTTTTTGTTTAATACTTGAAAATTTAGCGAAACAAAAAAAAAGGGAATCAATTGGCATTTTCAAAAACTAAGTGTGAAATATGGGCAGCTCAAGAAGGCTCAATAAACTATGAGAATTTCTTAATTTCATATTGACTCTTGACAAGGCACAAGTCACACATATGAATTTATTAGAATTTTTGAAAATTCAATTTAAAATGAGTATTTCATTGATATTTCATAAATTTAGAAGTATTAATTGAGTTTTATTGTTAAATTTTACAGTAAACTAGCGAATGGAAGAAATTTAAGACAATTCGGAAAAAATTTAAAAGTTTCTTTAAAATACACGAATAATTTCAATTGCATTATACGGAAATCTTTTACAGATAAAGCAGAATTTTACCCTCTTCCCCATAATTTTTATTTGTAATGCAACATTTTTAGCTTACAATATATAGTTCTTTTAAGGGATTTGATTTATGCTTACATACGAGAGTGCACATACATGCTAACCAATGTTATGCATTGCAGTGCATCTCGTAAATTATGTTGATATCTGCAACAATATTTTTGTTAGATTGACATTCAAATTCTAACATGAATCTGACAATCTAACCTCTTAAGTTAAAAATCAGTAAAGAAACAAAAAAGAACATCTTTGTATTTTTGTTTTTAAACAAGTCTTATGATTGGAAGAGCTTAGAGAGCGAAAGATCAAAATTCAAAAACCTTATTGTAATTTAATTTACTATCATAAAATAATTTCATAAAAGAAAAGAATTATAAGAGCTAAGAAATAGTTTAAGACCCTTTCCTATGACTGGAGATGTTATGGCTCCAGCTTTTAAACATTCCACTGAACAAAAGTTTAAGAGGTTTTCTAAATCTTTTTAAAGGTATATACTGTGCTTCAACTTTTTAAACGGTATTGTACATAAGACCATGTTAAAATTTCTAATTTTTGGTAATGAGCCTTGCACTGCTATTGTACACGGCAGTACACTTGAGTGTATAACGAAGTGGAAAATTTTAAATTACCCACAATTTGCTCTAAATACATTTTTTCCATTCAATTATTTAAAATTCAAGTAGTTGTAAAATTATTTTTAATATTTGGGTCACCCATTTTATATAAACAGTAAAATTTTCTTTTGTAATTAAAATATTCAAAGAATTTTCCGTTTTAATTCAAATTTCATTAAACAAAGAAAATTTTTAACCTGAAGAACAAGTAAGCAATTCAAATAAAACTTATTACCTCATGCCAATTAAAATCTTAATTAATAATGTTAAAACAGAAAATAGAATAGCAAATACAAGTATTAAAATTATAGACATAAATATTGTTAAACAGACATTTTTGAAGCAAACATCGTCTCGCATCTGTCAAGATTTTCTATTAATTATTAAGAGTATATTAAATACGTTTATGATTGTATGTATTTAATAAAGAAAAAGCTTAATGTACCAACTTAGTAACTAATTTAGAAAGAAAAATTATGAATCATAAAATATATTATGCAGGTTCATGTCAACACATTCACATATATGTTTGAACAAACTCCCGATAATCATTTGTTGTATTGAAGATTTAGAGCCAAAATACAGAGTGTTTTTTTTTCATTAATCATCTTTTAATGAATTATTACTTTCGAGACTTAAAATCTTAGAAAACAAAGTTAAAATTAAGAAATATTACTTTGTCCCGCTATCTGACGATTTGCAATTTCACTAAAACTTGATACACAATTATAGATTAACCTGTTTAAGTTGGAGTTTATAAAACACTCGAAAATTTTACAAATATTGTCCAAATCGTATTCTAAGAGTCCCTCAGAATTCCAAATGAATTCCGCTCCCCTGCAAATAATGAATTTGCTACATTACGGTATAATATTACGCCAGGAACAAACGGGTATTTGACAGTCATTTGCTTACTAATACTTAGAGATTAGAGTTTCGGAATGCAATATTTGTCATAAGACGCAATATCTCAAATTTCTCAACGATTCTTCGAAAAAAATGAGGCCCGCACAAATTTCTTTTAAAAATTATACGATTTTATTTTTATAGTTCTTGTCTCCAAATAATTCAAATAATAAAAAATCACCCGGTACTTAATTACATACTAAAATTAAAAAGAAAATCCTAACCATCATTAATATTTTAATGAATGTTGTTTTTTATTCTTTGTTTTATAGTTTTTAATAACCACGAGCCTTCTTATTAGAAATATTTTTATCCCAACATTAAAAAAAAAACTATTCTTTTTTCTGCAAGAATTATTTTATAATAATATTAAATTAAAGATAATAAAATACATATATAATATAATTATCTTAGAATTATAAGTTATGAATGTAACTAGGAAAGTTATTAAATATTAAAAATCTATGCTATAACAACAGTTAACGAATATGAAATTAAATAAGATTGTTGGAAACTCTTCAAATATATAAGAGCTTAAAGGTAATCATTACAATATAATTTGTGTGTATATCTAAGAATAATATACAAGTACATAATGTAGGAATTATAAATTAAATATTAAGTACTTACTTTTCTGAGTTCTCAGACTCATCTGCTTTAATTTTTTCTTCATTTGATTGATGAATGTTGGTAGTATTTACTTCTGAAAGAAAAAAAAAATAGATAATTATTACAATTTGTATGTATGTATGTATTAATGTATAAGTAACAAAACCAACTTGAATATTAATTATAATTAATTAGATTTTTAAATTATGGAAATTATGCTTTTAAATTATGGAAAAAATTTACAAATATGCGTACCTCAATTAGAATCAAAATGATAATTCAATTGAAATAAAGTTCTTTTAATGCAAATACTTAGACTTCACAATAATTTGAATTAAAAAATTATGTCTAGTAGCCATTTTAGTTATTATTTAATTTCAATCGAGATTAACAAGAATTTTTTAAAGAAACTAAGAATTTTGCAACACTATGCACATGAGGCAGAAATTCAGAGTTTTGTTAAAAATCAAATTACAATTTGATAAAAATAATTTAGTAAGATAAAAACTAGTTGCATGTACTAAAAGTTTTAAAGATGCTGGTGGATACTGAAAAGTTTTAAAGATGCTGGTGCTGGGAAAAGTTTTAAAGATGCTGGATCAATTGTTAGCACTTTTCCAAAAAAGAAAAAAAAACTGAAAAAATGCGCTTATTCTCTCTGCCTGTCCGTCCGTCAGTGGCTATTCTTAAAATATTTCTGCACTTTTTAAGGTAGATAACTAAAATTTTATACATAAATCTAGACTAGGAACTTATTTCCGTAAAAGAAAATGTTTACCTTTCAGAAGGAGGGAGGCTCCCTCTAAAAGCTATAACCTTTTTATAACCTAAAAATATTCCATTTTTGGACTATTTGTTGTAAAAAAAATTATAAAGATTTTCGATATTGTTTTCCCTTTAAAATTTAAACGATAGTAACATTTCAGACTCCTCTAGAAGGAATTGCTGGAGTCTGAAATTTTACAACTTTAAGATACTGATAAGTAGTTTATGTGGTAAAGAAAATTTTTTTCAACTCCATCTTCTCGTAAGTTGTCACCTATCGAAATTTATAAAATCTGAATTTTTGATAGTATATTTCCGAAACAGGAAACTTTTCCAAATTTCTATAAATACAGAAAGTTAACTACTTTAACCCTCGCAATTAACTCTTGATTGACCATTTTGATAGCGCCCTCTTACCATTTGAAATATCTATTACAAATGAAAGTAGCTGATTATTAGTATTTACATAACTAATAACAGTATTTTTACTTGTTACAGGATTGTTATTTATTTTTAACTAATAATTATCGTCTAATATTTTTAATTTAATATTACTTATTCCATTTATATAATTAATAAATAACTTGTATAATTATTACTTTAACTATATTAATTAAAATAATTATACCCTGCACCTTCGTGAAGGGTATATTAACTTTGGTATGGAGTTTGTAACCACTTGAAGGAATCATCTCCGGTATGGACGTGTAAATATATTCTTTATTTAGACCAGTTCGTCTGGCCGTCAGTCCAATCGCACGACAAGTCAAAAGCGAATAATGCAATCGACTCCAAACTTTCACTCCAAACGACTGCTCTTGTAATTGGAACAATTCGGACAACGAGTCCGGGTAGCTGCATTATAACTCAAAGAAGTTATTTTAAATATTTCAAAAACTAATATAGATATTAGCAACAAATTTTGTAAGGGTGTCTCCCATTACATTCTACAGAATAGTTTCACAGGTTCTAGTAATTTCTATAAAACAATGAAAGGTGTAGGGTGTAATTCAATGAGTTTATACCGACTGAAACGTTTTTACTTGTTTTAAATTAAAGTTTTACCTTCGGATAAGTTTTATTAAAGAAAATTATTATTAGAAATTATTTGTGTATTTTTAAATGAACTTGATTTTATCTATAATTATAATATTTTTTTAATAATAATTAAGTAATAATTTAAGTTTAATTATGATTACCGATGGCTTAAACTGGTATTAGATAGTTATTTACTCTTATCGAATGGTAACCATTAGATTCTCATGTCTATCTAAAATATTCAATTATTCAATTAATTGAAATCTCTGCAATTAATTTATGCTACTAAATTTAATTAATTTTTATTTTGAAAATTTTTTCCTCTATAATTTTATTTATAATTTCAATGCATATTCAATATAATTATAAACTGATTCTTGTCAATTAAATATGAGTGCGTTAATTGAATATCTTGTTTTAAGAAGTTAATGTATTAGTTTACTAATTATCTTATGTATATACTTATGTCTTTGAAGAGATTATTTATAAAAATTTATTAGTTTTAGACATTCTGCCTATATTTGAATCTAAGTTTTAGAATTCGAATTTAATGAGAAAAAGTATGAAAATAGAAATTTTATACGTCATATAATTTGTTTATATTGCGATTATAGATCAGATATCCCTGCTTTTAGATATTTTCGCAGCACAGTAGAATAGTCGCAACAAAGGCTTCTAATAACGGTTTACAACTAATAATACAAACTATACAATAATACCGAATATAATAGGAACAAAATATTTTTCACAAATTCAGAATCTGGACGAGAATTGCGTAAGTTGACAAACTAGTTCAACAGCAGTCACAAATTTTAATATTTCTTGGGTAAAAGACAAAAAATATTATTTAAATTTCACTTATCATTTTACTCTGAAACAATTAACAATTTCCAACAAAGGAAATAACTTATTAAATAATAACATAATATAAGGGGTTAGTTTCCTAGTAAAGAATTTTTAAAATTCAGACGGATCACAAGAATTAATATCAAGAATAAATTTCAAAATATCTAAATGTCACATATTTGCCTCCTAAACGTTTAAATAAGATTGTTAAAGCTACCATAAATATTGTAAATTGTGAACATAACGCGATTTATAATTAAATACGCTGAACTATGTGCGAATATAGGACGACAGTATCTTTGTCTAATGCTTCTTTAATTATAATAAACTTAAGAAAGTAACAATTACTTGTTTTGCTATCATCAATATGTTATAAAAATATGAAGAAAGTTTATAGCACAACAATATGATTTAAAAAAGAAAAAAAAACAAGAAGTTGACATTCCTGTTTAAAAATTTTAAATGTCATCACACTGACAATCATTTTATTATTGAAAATGAAGCGGCAGTTTTTTTCGTTACACCCAATAACCTTAATTTCACCAATACTTTTATCCTTCTTTTTTTATGTTTTCTTTGTTTGGGCTCTTAATTGTTTTTAAAATTATTTTGAATCAATAATTTTCTGAGAAGTGCTAAGACAATCATGGGAAAATATTGTTGGCATTTTAAATTTATACGTTATACGTACATGTAAAATCTTCTCTGTGATGTCATTGCGAAAGTAATCAAATATTTCGTTATTCTTTATAGCTCTACACATTTTGCAATCTTTCATCTTGTCAGGTACTTTGATCCAAGTACTTATACATAATTTATCCTTATTTCATTTCAATGTCAATAATTTTGATAATCATTATTTTTTTATTATTGTAATTTACCTAATTAATTTTTTTATGACGCCTTGCAAAAAATATTGGTTTTAATTTTCATTTAGTGGACAAATTTTCATCTTTAAACATTCTTCATTTCTTTTTAGTTTTTGTTTGCTTTCTAATAAAATTTTTATTGCCAATTAAGAGGAAAAAACAGGCAACTGTAGGTAATAAAATAAAAAAAAATAAACAATTTTTTTTTAACTTGTTTCCAGTTTTTTTGTGATCAAAGAAGAAGCGTTAATTTGTCAATTTCCTATGATGATATCATCATATAGGTGGATAAACAAACAATAGATCTTCCAGGACAAGTTTTTTCGAGTCAGTGTGAGTAACCTTGAGTATTGTTTTAATTTATACAACACACTTTTGTGAAATTAAATTTTGAAACGTAAATATTCCAACGTAATGCCTCTTGGTTGACAAATCAAAAATTAGACTTTGACTTGAAATAAATAATTTGACTTCAAATAATTTATAGAAAACTTACTATCTTCTGTTAGACGTGACGAGTTACTAAATATCGACCGGCAAATTTTTGTTGACGTTATCAATGTCACTAATGTCAATAACAAGTTGATTATAAAAATTACCACATAAAAATAAAATCAAAATTAACTGGACAAAATCGAACACTTAGCTATTAAATCACATTCTTCTGCCAGTACGTTGTTTTGTTCTTTTCAAGTTCATAGCGTTTTATCTTAATTAAAGTAGTTCGCGACAAGCGATTGTCAAAAAATCTTTTTACGTGTACTATAAATGCCGCATGGCTGCCGTATCAAATTCGAATTTCATTTTAAATATTGCCGCATGGCTGCCGTATCAAATTCGAATTTTGATATGCGGTTAAATTTAGGTATTGTAAAATATTTAGCAACGGCATGCCGCATAACACTGCCGACAAACTTCCTTTATGAAGTTGAGTGACAGTGGCACAGTAGACTTGAAGTGACCTGACACAGTAGACAAACGCATACAGCTGAAAATACTTGACATTCTATACAATACAAAAAGCATTTTTCGTATTAAATAATATCAAATCCTATGTCGTGTTACCTCAGAGTGAGAAAAATTAAAATAAAGTTATTTTTAAATGACATGATTACTTCCTAAATTAATTGATGTTACCATCGTATACCAACAAAAAAAAAACAATGATAATGTAAAAACACTTTATTGGTTATTTGAGAAAAAATTGAAAAACGTGATCTTCATCTCCATTTTATAGGCCTGTAAATTCAACAGGTGTAATTGGTTTTTCTTTTATATTTTTTGTATCCGCAGTTTTTTTCTCTCCGAATTCAAATGTTGGAATTGCTGCTAGGATCGTTGGTACAAGTGAAATTTGTTTACCTATTTTATTTTTTCTTATTGCTTGTAAGAATTTAACAATAATTTTATTCATTGCAATTTTAAAACCGGTTTGTTTTCTGTATATTGTTGTAAGGCATTTTTTATAGGTTTTTGTTAAATGGGTTTGTAAAATATTACGTGATTTAAATCAATTGTAAAACTTTTGTATTTTTTTCGATGTATTTTTATTATGAAAAGTTATGAGTTTTGGAAT